GTTTTGGTTCTTATGTATTTATTGATAATGATCATACCAAACAGTGAATGTAAAGAGTCATGCAATGACAAGAATAAAAGCATTACTCTTCACATCTTTTTTTTCTTTAAAAGTGAACATAAGTGAAGCCTATAATAATATTTTACTACAAATCCATTACTGGTCTGTAGTAAAATATTCATTTAATCTTAATTTGATTAATTTAATTTTAACTTTGATGGTAAGGATGACAGAGCAGTAAACAGGTTGTGCAGAAAGGTTGTGGAGTCTCCTTCTATAGAGATTCTCAAGAACCATCTGGATGCCTACATGTGTGACCTGTTGTAGGAAACCTGCTTTAGCAAGGGGTTGGACTTGATGATTTCTTGAGGTCCCTTCTAAGCCTTATGATTCTATGATTCTGTAATTCTGTGTAATCTAATCACGTTAACTGTTTATTTTGGCTTTGTGTGTGTGTGTGTGTGTGTGTGTGTGTTAGAGCACCTCTCAAAGCACCAATGGATCCATCAGTGGTTTATATCAGATTATTCTGCCCCCTGGTTCTTTACTCACCTATAAAATCTGTTAGTCTATTATAATTTGAGGAAAAATAGATCATCATAAATATCACATATAGTAGTGCAGACAAAACTTTTCTCATCGCTACGTGTCTTTGTTTCTTGCTGTTGAAGAGATCGTGGTTTTAGATGTATTGAAATTCCTAAAAAACCTTCAGGATGATGTCACATTGTATAAAACACTGACATTTTGCCAGATAATTAATCTTCTTTGCTATTTAAAGGATTGACGCTCAGTAATGTTCAGAGTCACCCTTATTTCACAGCTGTATCATTACATATGAGTGTCACCATTTTGGAAGTTGTAGATTTTAAATTTAATAAACTGACAGTACAAAATTGCAGTTAACTCTGTCAAACACATAAAGGACAAGTTCATTTCATTTTATTTGCAATGTCAGTTTTTATGCCTTCCTCCTTGAGCAGGTACTCCTGAACAGAGCGGAGTCCCCCACTTTAAACAGCAGAGTGCAGGGCATGACAAACGCCTGTTCTTCTAAAAACCTCCCTAGAAATATATGAAGGATAGATTAACCTTTGTAATAGAGCTTGCAGATGCATATGAGGGTTTCTTCGTAAGGTATGACCCAGCTTGTAGGCTATTAACCCTTTTAGAAGAGCAGTCTTTGCAAAAAAAAATGTTGAGCTGATACGATAGATTCTAGTTAATGCTGTTAATTCATATGGCACAGAATGCAAGTTGTTCTTTAGCATTCACATACATCTAAGCCAGGGTGATACTTCACTCATTGCTGGGAATTGCGCTTTACTGACAGCAGCGTAGCAAATAAGTTGTACTGATGACAGCAGAGGGTTGCTTATTTCTCCATTTGTCACCCAACTCCCCTGCTAGATTTTCTCCCAATGGGAGAAGTAAGATCCACTGGGACCTAAAATCCTGCTTGTGAAATTAACGCTTCCAGAGAGAACCTTCAGCAAGACCTGAACAAATTGGTTGACTCTTTCTCTAGCAAAATATTCCTTTAAAGTATTTGGACATTAACCTGAACTTCTACAGCTTTGGTCATGTCGCTACTGCACACCACAGGATGAGATCAGTGCCTTTGTGCGAGTTTAGCAGGGCATCACAGAGAACAGGAAACGAGATGAGGGTCCACGGAGTGACCAGCTAAGATGAAAATTAGTTGAGTCAGTGATTGCTGTGCATGGCATTATTATTATGGTTTCATAGTTGTTTTGTGTGTGTGAATGATAAAATCCTTGGAATATGACAGAGTAAAATACCTTACAATCTGTCCCAGAAAGTTATGAATCATTAGACAAATTTAGCTTGGCAAAGAGAGTTAAAGAGAAACTAAACACCTCTGTGTGTATATGTGTGTCTGAGCATGTCTGCCTGTGTGACATGTGTGTTAGCTTTTCTAGTGGATGAGTATTTATCTAGTAAATCATAATCAGACAGATCTGGGATTTAAATGGGGCTGCGGCCAGAAGATGAGTGATCTGGACAGAAGCGTCAAATCTCAGTAAATTGCTCCAGCAAACAAATTCTAGAAGAATTTAGAATAAAAATAGGCACAATTTGTGTAGTGAGATTAATTAATCTCTGAACCTTCTTACTGATGTGTAATGGAGTTTTCAAAACTGTACATCATGATCAGAACCTACAGTGTTCTGTATGACGTATCATAGTTTAGATATGGATTATGTGCTTACAATAAAATGTATGGGGAGAGTTTGCTCTGCCTACGGGATGATCTTTTGGCCTTAAAAATGTCCAAAATAATTAAGAATGCTTTGAAATAATACTGGGCTTACTGATATATGGACCACGGCCAGTGCCTTTGCTGGGAAATGAGCGCTGCAATGCATGTATTCCCCTGACCAAACTCCGTGGACCCTCATCTCGTTTCCTGCTCTCTCTGACGCCCTGCTAAACTCACACAAAGGCACTGATCTCATCCTGTGATGTGCAGTAGCGACATGACCAAAGCTCCAGATGTTCCAGCTTAGGTCTTTTTGGAGAGGAAATTCTGCATTAGTTTCATCAAACGCATGCGTTGAGAAGGAAGAGGCTTGTTGGCGGTGCTTGCGTGAGTGGGAGGCAGGATCTGATGACCTCCATAGGTCCTTTCTTACCAACACTTTTATGATCCTCTGAGTTTCCTTGCTCAGCATCATTCAATACATATGCTCTGTCAGGCCAGCCACTAAATCTGGGTTCAGACACTAAAGTGTGTTTTGGTTGCTTACAAAATCCATGAGTGTTGGTCCTATGAACTTACTGCTTTACACTACAATCACAAGTACGATAATTCAGACTGAGGACAAAGAGCAGCAAGTTTCCTCTACAGTTACGTGGAGATTAAAAATGGAGACTTAAAAAATTAATTTAAGTGCCTAATTCTGAACATTCAAATCATAAAATATTGATTTGAGGTGCCATGCTTGCCACTAGTTTTAAGTTTTCCTCATTAAAATTATTGTAAATGCGTTGTTGAAAACAAGAGCTAACTTTTCCTGGCTAGAAATTCAGTTATGAAAATAGGCAAAATGAATTTTTGCAATCCAAAAAGCTGGTGTAAATTTCAGTCCCTGCTTTTGCAGTGTTGTGCTCTGTACGCTCCCGGCTCAGGACAACAATGCAATGCAGTCCTTCTTTGATGGGTGCAAACAAAATGTAGGTTTTTTTTTTTTTTTTTTTAAATCACCATTGTTTAAAAAGCCACTTGTTGTAGAATGGATTAAATAACAAATCAAAGGAAAAACAGAATCTGTTGTCGCATGAGGAAACACACAGAGCATGAAGTTAGCTCTGCACAAAATAAAGACAGCCAGTCACACTTAAGAAAGAAATACAAACAGTAAGACTTTTCTGCAATTGTGAAAATATATATATATTTTTAATATGTATGTGTATATTTAAAACTCTTGCTCTTTTAATATCTGTGAGAGAGCTGAAGGTGCCTGGGAAAATAAATCATGTGAGAATTTGAGTACTGGCTGCCTCTGAGCCCAGGGAAGGTTTGGACAATGCTTTGGAAAAGTGAAGTGTTGTGGAAAATATTACAGTGTTGTGGAAGAAGTAATAGTTTATTAAACATAAGGGCTGCAAAAATGAAATGATGTGAGGTCTGGCAAATGTTTTCTTTTTAAAGCTATGCGTCCCGCTCATCCAAAAATATGCTAGAAGAACCCAGAGCTGGTTGAGAACCGGCAGCTGTGCATGCCTGCTGAGCACACCAGTCAGAGGGAATTAGTGCAGAGCTGCCCTCAGCGCTTCCCTGATGCTGATTACAGCCATTTTTATCTGCAACAGCAGTGATAAGGAAAACATTTTCAGAGAGTTACTGTATATCTTTCAGTATTTCTTTTAGAAGCAGTTACCAGTGTTTACTTCTCTGCAAAAAGAAATTGAAACAATGTTCTTAAATGACAGCAGACATCACACCAGTGCTTTGTTTTATTACTTTGTTGCATGGTAACAGGCTGTGCCCAAACCTGGGTACATATGTGTTCTTGTTCATTGACCTCGTCTGTCTACCAGTGGGGCTGGGGCTAAAGATCCAAGGCAAAACCAGGCGCTGATGCCACTGTGAGTGACCTATGTGGCAGGCCTGGAGTACAAGCCTGCAGGAGCAGTATGTAAAGCATACCTATAGTTTTGGTTCAGCAGAGCTAGAGTGTAGCTAATTTGGGAGATAATAGATTGCAGCAGAAAAAGCAGGAAACATTCCCTATTCCTGTCATTCTTAATGAATCTGCATGACATTGGATCGCTTTGCAAGAGCTATTCTCATTTAAATACTAGTTGCTATGAATTAGCATTGTTAAATTGAAACATTTTGTGTAATTCTCAGTTTATAATTGGATTAATTTTACCCTAAAATCCCATAAAGATAGAATGTGATTTTTTTGTTGTTTTGTTTTTAGATCTTGCAACAAGCCAGGCATTGGTTCATATGGTGTGGTAGGGCCAGGCAGTGGTCTGGGGCAACTGAATTTTGAACACATTAAGCAAATAGGAATGTGTGACGAAATGAAAGGAAAAACACATTTCTGGAGTCTAAATTTCAGAGCTAGAGCTCTTTAGGGTACCTCACCCCATAGAAAGGTAGATGTTTCTTACAGCTTGTCCTCTCCAACACTAATGGCTGTGGTAATAGCTTGAGATGAGAAAACGAGTGAGGGCAGGAGAGAACTCTTCAGTGGAAAAGCTGTTCTGCAGAATCTAGAGGAGAACCCTAAATAATTGACATAAATGGCCAATGTGTCTGAAGACAGCAGGTGTTGAGTGGGCTAGATATGTATCATTCCCTAAATAAAATGCATATCAAGAAACAAAATTAGACCCTCATCCTGGAGGTATATTCTACCACTGGTACTAAAAAGCCAGCTATATCTTTTCTGTTATCCAGATTTAATAAAAAATAGCTACATTCATGAGCAAAGTAATGATGAACACCCTAAACTTGTGGACAAACATCAACTTTATTTCTGCTTGGCAAATGCGAGTTGTTTCAAAGCTGCAGCTGTAAATGTCACGCCTGTGACTGCAGCTATGTCACTTAAATTAAGAAACATGGTAGCTGAACTGCAAATGTTAGATGTTTCTCCAGAAGTGGAAACTTTGTAAAGAAAGTGCATGTTTTTGGCATGGCTGCTGTCATTTGCTGCTGACTCCAGCTTAGGCCTGGCATTGCGAAACATCCTGAAAGAGCACAGCATTCCTTTATGGATTGCTTTGGAAAAGGAACTGCCTCTGTAGGAAGACAAAGAGAGGATTCAGCAATTTCCTTCTAGGCTTATTTCTCTCTATATCACAATAACTAATGAAGAGAGTTGAACAAAATCATCTCCAGCTGAAGTTTTGAGAGTGAAGAAAGAATGGCAAAAGCTTCTCTACACAATTGAAAAGCTTCATTTTGATTAAGTGATGCTTGAATAGCATCCACAGAACTCCAGAGGGTGGATATGCCCTCTCTATTAGCCATAGTGCTTGGTGGTCCCTGTAGGCAGCTCTGGCTGCATGCTGGACACTCCGCATGCTCACACGAGTACATGCAGCCAGCACTGTGGTGCTACTCCCTCAGGCATAGGGGTACCTCTGTGCAAAACTATCAGCACCACCTGAACCTGATATCACTATAGAATTCTGCACAGCAGTGACACCACTCCAAAACTTGTCTCTGTGGCTCCTCACAGAGGCCTCATGCTCCCGAGGCCCCTGAGGCCTGCCCCATGGCCCCCTGTGCACGGCAGGCCCAGGGCCAAGTGCAGATGACAGAAAACTTTCTTTTGCCCTTGAGTTCAGAGACATTTAAAAACTAAGCATAAGACATTCAAGTGCTGCAACAAGCAATTCTGCAATCATCAATCATTTTGGGAATGGCCTTCAAAACACAGCAAGAGGCATGTTTCAACACCAAATTATCACAACTGAGGCAAGGAAAAAGGAGGAATATGCCATGTTTCCATAAATTCCCAGTCACAGTGGTTTGGGTTATGGCCAGTTAATTCATTCAAGTATACTGTTAGAAGGATTTTTTTGGTCTCTTTTAGTGAAATTTTGATTTCCATGCATTATGAAAACATACTTTATTGTGGGACAGTGTCCTTCATTTGTCCGCTTTTCAGAGAGTTATAGTTCAGTGTATTATATCCAGCTATTCTCTGCCTTTATGATTTGTTATTTCCTGCAGTACTTTTTTTTTGTCCCAAACCTACGTGATTTGCAGTTAGTAATTAGTTAGATTTTATGTCATTTCTCTGCATTTGTACTGAGTCTTTCTTTCCATTTGCTCTACTGTGAAACAGTAAACATTTGTCATTTTACACCAATTTCAGATCTAATAAAAACAGGGAGCAACAAGGCTATTGTTATAGAATTAATGAAAAGAGATCTCCCTATAGATAGCAATGAAGTGGAAGAAATTAACATAAAACTGTTATGAAAAGAAGTACTTTACTGTATAAAACATCTATTTTACAACACCTACGATTGTAATAGCACTTCAGAGTACAAACCCAAAGAGTTTACTGTTCTATTTCAAATGCTGTGCAATTCAGAGCTTACTTCCAAGTGGAAAAGGGCTTTGAGGGATGCAGTAAGGGGATGCTCTACTCATCGATGTCCACCGGTCATCTTGCTGCAGTCAGGTTCTGTTGGAATAATTGAATTCTAGGTTGCCAATCTTTACACTGCTCTGGTACAGCAGCAGTAAAGTAGAGCACCTCAATAACATTTTGAGAGGTGAACCAGGAAACAGAGTAATGAGAAAGCAGAAATAAAAGATGAATTTTTCAGAGGTTGAGGAGAAGTTGAATATCAAATAGAAAAAGTTCCAATCCTTCAGGAGAGGAGTAGAATGGTGACATAGCAAGAACTGTACTACCAAGACCCTCTGTTCTTCTGGAAGAAATACAGCTTGAAAATAACTTTGCTAATCTCTGGACACCATGCTCCCAGACCTGCTCACAGTCACTAAAAAGAGTGGGGAGCTCATGGAGGGAGCTGTTAGGAGTGCATGACTAAGGTACAAAAATAAGGAGAGATTAGAGGGCAAACAGAGGACTGTTGGCTCAGTCAGCATTTCTGCTGATGACTAACCAGGGTTTTTGCCTATCTAAAGCTATCAGACTTCGGCCTAGTAATTTAGGGGGAAAAAAAAAGTGTAGATGAGCTCAGAATCCGCTTGCAGTTACACAGCAGTAAATTCAGACTAACTTCATTCACTGAGTTCACTGGAGTTGCTCTAGATTTATATCAACTTCAATGAGACCTTATAATGGTCTACTGAGAATTTAAACTTCGTGCTTGAATGTGCAAGAGTGAGAATTGGCTGAGCTACATAGGCTCAGCACAGACCATTGTATCCAAAGAGGAAGAGAAACTTTTTGCTGCCATCCTTATTGTGCTTCTTGCGCTATTAAATTCTTCTTCTGCTCCAAATGTAACTCTAAGAATGAAAAACTTGCAACTACAAATGGGCTACCAATTATTTATTGTTCCTGAGCTCATTCTTAGGATAATATCCAAGGACCCATAGTTATTAATTCCGCATATTGCACGAATGGGTTAGGTGACCCATTAGGCTCCTCAGTTGTCACTTTGCTCATTCCTAGAATCTATTATAGCACAGGTACAGCATATTCCTTAATTTATTATCATAACAGATTGTACTGGTGCATTAAATACCTCTTTAATAATGAGTGGGCACACCACCTCTGCTCCCATGCTTGAATATAAACCTTCCATTAGTAAGCTTCTGAAAACAAGGCTCTCTGAAGAAGAGAAGCAATGTGAGCAACCTATTTGGAATCACCTATGTTCTTCAGCCAAATGCCAGCTGAGGATGCCAGGAATTCAAAATCAAGTCCATTATTTCTGGATGTTCACATGCATGCCTGCCGCATGAGCTTTGAGCCAAGAAAGGATCATCTCGTGAGGTAGCCTTGTGAAATAAGATAGCTCCTATCTCTATAACATGTGCCTGATTTCCATATGCCTATTTTTTTCTTGTTATCTCTGATATGTAGAGGCAGCTGTAAACTGTCAAACCAGTCATCTAGAAGAAAAGATTTTTTTGTTTCAGGCACTCCTATTTGTGCCGTAGTAAAGGTTATCCTGTAATGAAACCCCCATGGACACGAGCATTTGCTAGCTTATGACCCTCAGAATATTACTGTTACATCATATGCCAAATTTACATCTACACTTATGTATTTATTTTTGATAGGCAAGGCACCTAACAAGACAATTCAGTCAAAAGAAGTTAGGCACGGCGCCGACTGAGGCTTCCTTCTGAACTTCACTAAGCACATGTGTACCTTAAGCAATGCTGCAAATCCTTTCCCTGAACTGATCTTAGCCATTAAGGGAAAGTATGTTTACCCTAAGGAACTTAAAGGCTGTATTAATGTTCATTCCTGAAAAGGGAGAAAACGGTTGAGATTCCTTTCTACAAAGTCACTAAAATTAAGTGTGGGGCAGGGAGGAAATTCAAAGAAGTATCTTCTTATTTGATCTCTTTTTTTCCACTGTGGCTGAGCAGTTGACTTGGTTTCCCTAGTCAGCTCTGCTACAGTTACCAGCTTGCATGATATGGTATAGGCTGGCTTTAATTTTTAATAAATATTTTCTTTGAGAAAAAAAACTCTTGGCTAAAGTTCTAGTCCTTTGCATTTTGAAGCAGCAATTAAGCAATTAAATTAAAGCCTGTAAAATAGCAACAGTTTCCATTATAAAACCACCAGCATCTCCACCTCTTTGAGAAGCAGTGATAAAAATGCCTCAGAAATTCTTTGAAATCAGATATCTTGCAAGTATCTGATCTTCATCTTTAAGATAGTGGAAAGAACAGAGGTTATGCAAAATCCAAGTATTCCTTCCAAACCAGAAGTGTTCCAGTTTCCCAGCTTCTTAATTACCTTTGCAATATCTTTTTAGCCTTACAGTACTTAAAGCATTGCTGATACTCCGATACTTCAGTGCTATAGACTCAGGGTTTGATCACTCAGAGAAGATAAATGTTAATTTTTCTTGTTTCATCCCATCTACTTTGTGGTCTTTGCTATCTCTTTCATTATATTCCAGATATAAGCAGATTCTAGCTACACAACTTCTCTTCTTTCAGTTTGACTTTTTTTTTTTTCCAAAACAGCAGTGTTTTTGGCATCAAGATGAGGATAATTACCATGTGGTCTCCATTTGCTTGTAGGTTGAAGACCCCCACCCTAGATCAAAAACAATTTCAGTTGACTGAAACAGCATTTCCCAGCAAATGGAAATGATGCATTTCTGGCAACTTTTCAGTGTAAAATGAGTCATCAAATCATACTGAGTTAAGTGTCTTCACCCTTTCTTCCCCCAGCTCTTAATTCAATAACGGGTAGGCATAGAACAAAGCTTCATCTTCAGAATGTGTACAGAATACACAGGGCCGCAAAGATAAACACTTGATTGCTAGGCAGCTATATCACAAAAAAGCATATAATTTGAGTCAGATTGGGTTGAAACTAAAATTGCAGCAAACTATTTACCACAGACTCAAACTGTGGAGAGAAAATGTACTCTTTTCCTAGTTTTTCATATTCTCTCTCCCCTTCCTTTCACTTAGTGTAGGAGTTCAGCATTGCTATTTTTTTTATTTGGCTTCTAATAAGAAACAAAGTATTGAAAAGATCCACTGCCATTCACACTTCAAATTAAAAGTGAAGTTTAGAAAAGAAAATGCTGTTGATGTTACTCTAAAAATCTCAGTGGTGTAATAGAATCTGCTCTAAGCACAGAAGTCAGAGGTGGCTGTGTATCTGTGAAGTAATATTTGTGGTAATATGTGGAATCATATGGAAGGGAAGGGAAGGGAAGGGAAGGGAAGGGAAGGGAAGGGAAGGGAAGGGAAGGGAAGGGAAGGGAAGGGAAGGGAAGGGCTGCAATGAATGCAGTAAGGGAGGAGAGCTGTTTGTCCTGGCTGATCCTTAGATCTACCAACCACAGTTACACCTATGCTCTGTTTGACTGGTGAACATGTTTTTTAAAAAACAGTTTGCAATGTCCACATCCACTTTGCATCAGAAGATTTGTGCACTGCCTTATTCCATGACTATATGAACCCATACCAGTGCCTTAAGAAGGCTCAGCTGTGGAGTTTTGAGCATGTGGCGTTTTATTTTTTCTTTATATTTGACTTTTAGTATTTGACCAACATAGTAGTACAACTTACTACAATTTTGTGATAACTGTGGAAAGCAGGAGAAAGA